CTTTAGATTCGTATATTTTAAGTTCATGACAGGAAACAACATGTTATCAAAGGTCTAACCAAAATGTTTTCATAATGAAAATGTCATAACATTCAATTAAAATGAGTTAATATCATGTGAACTATTTAAAATCAAGTCAAAATTTTTGATTGATCTTCAGAGTGACTTTCATTGATGTTATTGAAGAGCATCTTTTAAATACTGTTCACGTCTGAAAAGCTTATCATTTCGTAATTAAGTCTTTAAAAAATTAAGAGCTTATTTACGTATGAGCATATACTAATATATTACCTCAAAGAAGAATTTTCATAATTAGGCTTTTATATATCTTAAGTGAAATATAATTAAGATGAATATGAGGAAATTATGTGGGTGACATGAAAAGAAAAAGCAACGTATAGCTTTTGAAGAAAATGCCTTTGTGGATTTTAAACGAGTTTCAACTTATGCTTGACATTAATCAAGTTGCACAAACGTAAAGGAAAGAAGAAAAGGGAGAAAAGTTAATCATAATAATTGTTTTTTGCGAGCAAATTTGAGCAAATTCCTCAAAGCATTCTTAAATTTTTGTGTTTTCCATTCACAATAAAGCAATTGCTTTCACGGGACTTTTCCTTCTTTGCGCTGAAAAAATGAAATCATATCAAATGGAAAAAAAAACTCACTTGAGGATTGTGAGCTGGAATTGATTGAATTTACTCAAAAAAAGGAATGATTTTTTTTAATAAATATTTAAATTTTCTTGTTCAGTACATAAAATAAATAGTTTTTAAATACCGAAAGCCTGTCATTGTGGCAATGAAATTTTTTCTAGGAAGGTCAGTTTTACAGCTTATTTAAAAATATTATTTTAGGTGTCTTATGTGAATTGTGGGTTGTGAAGTTGAGCCAATATAAATTGCAGAGCTTCATGAAAGAAAACTCGTTTGTTTTATAAAAAAGAGGAGGAAATCTTTAAATTTCACAAGTAATATTAAAGCTTTAATAATCCTTTACACAATTTTCATCAACAAATCTTCTCACTTTCTCTTTATGCGCAGTAAATAAAAACAAATTAAGTTTCATTTCATCATAAATATTTCTCGATAAAAAATCAATCATCAGATTAGAAATGAGCAAGAAAAAAAATTCAGAAGCACAACATGTCGACTTGCATTAATCAAATAAATCAGAGTGAGCATTTCGAAAAATAAGTAAGCAGCAAAAAGGTTTTGCTTTGCCAGATTAGGTTTTTCATGTCATGTTGCGACGTAAAACATTGAATTAAAAGCATAAAAGGGTGTGCTGTATAATTTATAATTGAACACTTCTTATCTTCACACTTTATAATTTTTTACCAATTTCACGACTGATTTTTTATGTTGAGCAAAAATTTAATGTTTTAACTTTAAAGCTTCATACCTTGAATTAATAGATAAAAAGAATGTAAGAAAATGAAACAATAATACTTCATTCATTTAATGATTCCCTTACTTAAAATTATTTTCTTTAAGGATTTCATTTCTGCCACCCTGAAATAAAGCTTCCACCCCCTTAAAGCAGATCAGATATGTCTTTACCTAATTGTATAGTGGGCGTCCAAAAAGAAGAAAAATTTAGCTTATGATATATATTGTGAAATATTATGCTGTTTATTATTGAAAGCATTTCTACATCTTTGATTGAATGGAAGCAATTGAAGTTAATCAATCATTTGATATGTTATTGCTAAAATTGATTTGGCGTCTGGAAAATGTATTAGGGGGGGGTAAAGCAAGAATCTGTTCTTTATTAAATCCAAAAATCTCTTTACACAACATTTTTGATGCTTCAAACAATGTCATGAAATATTTTATTTAAGAATTTTATAATTAAATTTCGGTTTAAAGTCATTTATGGTCACATAAAAATGTAACTATAAATACATAAACAAAATATACATTAAAATAAAATATTAAAGTTCAAGAGCTCAATCCTGAGAATGGAAAAAAAACATCGAAATACGAATTGGCTGTTTTGAATTGAAACCTCTAAGAAATGAATCAGTTGACATTACAGAATTCAAGGAAATTTATTTTTAGAATTCACATTAAACTTAGGGTAAACCATGTTGAAATTTGTGTGTTTTTGCACATGAAGATTTGATTTGCAAATAACTTGCTGACTCATGATGAAAATTTGCTAATGGGCTCAAATAATCAATAATTGTGGGAATTTTCAGTTAATAATGTTTTTTGAAGGATATGCTGCTTATGGGAAGAGATTTTTGGCATTTTCGTTCAAATGTTGAAATGTGTGTGGAAAATTTTAAAATTTGTGCGAAAAAATGTTGAAATTTGTGCGAAAAAATGTTGAAATTTGTGCGTTTTTTTAATAGCAATCTTTGACAAAGTCTTTGCTGAAGGAACTACTTTGAATAAACTTTAAATGAAATTAAGAACATAAAGCTGATTGGTTTCAAACCAACCTCAAGAAATAATGCAAGATTCAAGATATAACTCAGTTTAAGCTGGGTGAGTTTACAACCGTCAAAGGAACATCCATTAAATCAGCAATTCCTCCATTTTTTTTTGTAAATTTTATGCAGCATAGAGTTTTAACAATAACTTATATATATATACTTTTTGAATGTATGGATATTCTTGAAGTCTTTTGCATTTTTTTATTTTTATCTAAAATTTTAAATGATCCACGTTTTTCATTTTTATCAGCTGTTATCAATTTTAGACTTTCAGTAGTTCGATTTATGCTATTCTTCGTAAAATCCTATAAAAACATGAATTTCTATATTATACGTATATAATATTTGTTGTTGACAAAAATTCCCATCGCTTTCTACGACAAAAAGCGCACAAATTTCAAATTTTGTAAAAAAATTTCGCACAAATTTTAACATTTACAATCAAGAAATTTTAAAATCAATTTTTAAATCAGTTCCAATGATTTTTATAACTTGAATTTTTTTTAACAGTATAGCAATTATCAAACTTTATATTAAAACTTTGATTTGATTACAAGCAGCACTGGTTATGTCCAAATATTTAAAAATATGAAAATCATGATTTTGTTTGAGATTTTAAATTATTCAAATTTAAAGCTGCTCCAAGCTTCGAGACTGCCAAAATGATGTAGAAATGTTTGTACAACTGTTTTACACAGAGCTGCAAACAAAATTTTGGTTTAAATGGCATATTTGGGCTGTTTCTTTTTTATGTGAGCGCACAAATTTCAACATTGCACAACTTTAACATGGTTTACCCTATTAAACGAGTTTATTAGTCTTTGTTTCAAGGTTATGGAGCTTTATAGTAATTTCTAATCAGTTCCAATATTGTCTGCGAATAAAACTAAAAGCTTAAAATATAATGCATGTTCATGCATATATTTTTTTATAACAATAGCAGATGATGATGATTATATGCTGTCAGAATATAAGACAGACAAAAAGGATCATCATATAAGAAAATGTGTTTTTATTTATTCATTCCGTTTCATATTGATGGTCGGTTGTAAACACCTTTTTTATTACAATATTATTGATTCGATTCTCTCAGGACATAAAAAATAAATTTTTATTTCCCAAATAAATCATGAATATTATTAAACTGCAATAAATTTATTGTATACTTATTATTACTTGAATGCCTTAGTTGTAATTCTATACAATGTTATAAATTGAAATAACTTAAGAAATAAAAATGATTCGGGCGGAGAAAACTTCAAGTTACATCTTAATAGAACATTAATTCAATTTCAATGTAACTACTCATCTGGATTTCTTTGTAATAACTTTCTTAAATCTCATAAACAATTATACCTAACAAGACGTCATCAAATATATATTTATTTCATTTTATTTTTCAAAGATCTGGTCTCATTATGTAATTTTCTGATAAATTTCAATATTAAAATAATAAACATTTAATAAACCGATTCAGAATTCTATAAATACTTGTTCTCACAACTGCGTATTCAGTATTTAACCACAGAAGTCTTCGTGTGAAAAATCTGAATTAACAACCAAGAACAATGAAAGATATAAAAATGACACGTGTTAAGATGAACAAGAATTTTGCAATAAGTACCCTAAGAGTTACTCTGACAACGATGTCAAATGAGGTATAGTTGAGAGAAGAACATATAAAAATGAGTATGCCAAGTCATAAGCATGTTGTATAATAAATTTGAGAAAATAATTGTATATTTATTTTTTTTATTTTCTTCTCTAGCAAAACAATCATCATAAATATGTTCAATTGAGAAAAATGAAGCACAATAACAAAAAGTTGCGGAAACATAAAATATGATTAAAAATTTACATTTCACATCTGCAAGGAAAGCACGAGCAAGGAGACTTTATATTAAATTGTCTCTTAAAAATTAATTCGATGGACGCATATAATAATGAAGAAATAACGTCCTTCAATACAGAGTTGTGATGTGATACTTGCCTGTCAATACCTGTGAACAGGCACTGCCTATCTCGCTTACTTTTCAATTTATCTCTGTTACTGAAACATACATCTCAGAAAAGGTAATATAAATTTTGCCTGAAGCCAGACAGTTTCTGTGATAGACCTGTCACTTGTGCCTGTTAATAGTTGACCTGTCTCGCAATACTGTCAAGAGCTGATCTTCTTGTTTTTCTGCAATTGTTTATCTGAAGATACTGCAAAAATTTCGCCATAAATCTGAAGAGGTAGACTTAATTAAAAACATTTCTTGGTAAGTTCTCGAAAAAAAAAAATCTTTATTATTATTCTCAATTGTTTTGTTATCATTTCCTTAAGAGGCATGTACACAAATTCGAAAAAAAAACATTGAGATGCACATAACATTCATAAAAACATTTTCTTACATATCGTTTTTCATTATAAACATCTTTATATCTTTAAATTATTTAAATCTTCATTTGCATTTTCTTTTCTCTTAACTCGTATATGAAAATAAGTCTAAGTTCTCTGATTTATTTCTCTTGTTTTGTATTTTCAAAATTAAATTTTCTTTATTTTTTTTATATTCTCACATACATTTGAACGGCATTTGCTATCTGTAGAAATTTGAATAAAAACTCTTCAAAAATTAGGGGTTGAACTTATACTTTTTCCTATGTTCATTATAATGACTTAATTTCAGAATGATTTAACAATTAAATTCTATTTTCATCCTCTTTTTGTTTCTGCTTAATATTTGTTGGCAATTGATTTTCATTGTATGCGTTTTTTGTTGCTTTTGATATCTTCAGGCTGTCCACTTTAGGCTTTATTAAACAGAGTTTTCTTCTAGTCCCTGCTGAATGAGAAAAATCAATGAAACTCATAACTTAAAGTAAAGATTAAACAGTAGAATAAATAAAAAAAAATAAGGAAGTTTAAAAAGCTGATATTTCTAGAATTCAATAATTTTCTAATAAAATACACGTGATCTTCAAAAAAATTGATCATTTTACTTCCTCAAAACAGTTAAAAAACCATAAATACATACGAACTTAAAAAAAGAAATAATATCAGTTGCTTATTCTTTAAATGTCATAAACATAATTTATCTTCTGTTTAACTAATGAATTTCCATAGAAAACAAGAGAATAGAATGTTGTACATACAATAGAAAACAAATTTATTTACATCCTCACCATCAATGGACCCGAGTTGCGTGGTGGAAAGGCTCCATTTGATTCTCGAAGAACAGCACAATAATTGGATGGAACTTCAGTTAAGATTGTTGTTGATGTGACATTTGATTCCCGTTTCTTTGTATTGCCTGTAAGTGGTCTGTTGATGTCGAATTAAATAGAAAGAAAAAAATTACAACAATAAGAAGAAAAGGTTAATGGAAGATGGAAAAAAATGTTGATCATTAATAATACTAAATCGAGAATGGCGTGTGCAAATGAAAAGTGATTAGAATCTTCTCTTTACCTTAAGCTCTCGGTGTTTGAATGAGGCGACTGATGGGATCCGTTATTTATATACCTATCGAATGTTTATGGAAACTAAATTACTTTTCATTAGCCATACGAAGGACGACATCAGCCTTCAATTTGATGTTAATTAATCCTATGTAAAAATTACCTTTTAGTGGTCTGGTTTGATGAATGACGAAGTTGTGGTCGAATTATGTTTCTCGCATCTCGCCAACGATTGATACTTTTTTTGATTGCTTTTCTCACTTCTGAATTTAGAAAACAGTAAAATAGAGCAACAAAAAATCCCTGAAAAGAAATAAATTTTCATGAGGAAATGACTCAATCACATTAGTCAATTCACACTTTGTAGTGTGCCTAAATTTCTTTTTCACTTCATTTTTGTGGTAACATTTCTTCTTTTTTCATTCATTGCAAAATTTATTCCAATTTCCTGTTCACTATAAATGAAGATTTTCTTTTATTACCCCTAAACTTAGAAACATGTGCAGATAAGAAATTTTCATTTTTACTTAGCAAAGTTTTGTCTACGTATGGTCCATTATTTATGTCTAAGCATCAAGAAACTTAATTTACCATTTTTTTTTTGCTTTTCTCATTGCATTTGTGGTATGGAAAATGTGTAAATGCTATTCCTGGCACTTTTGGTCATGTCTTACACTTACTTTATTCACAACTTTTACTGAGAGTTAAATCCGTAAACTTCAAAATACTAAAATAAATTTTCAATTTATTGATTGCAATGGATTTGAAGATTAAAAATTTTAAGACCATCAATGAGACTTAAGTTGATTTGATTTTCTTTCGATTTTCTTTTTCTAATCTCTATTAACAGAATTTATTTTTTAAAAGCTTCTTTTTGTAATTTTAATCTTATAGATTTGATAGGATTTTAACTTTTTTCATTTCGTTGTTTCCTTTTACTTTTAACAGAAAAAAGTTTGAACTATAATGTCCGATGCACAGATGTATAGTTTTGGGAAATACATGCACAGTAGTTTTAGCTGGGTATGTGTGTCATGTTTATATGCTCTAGAAGCATGACAGTTTTTAATTTTTTCATTAAAATTCCGAAAAAATTGAAATTGTTAAAATTGCTGCAGTTTGAACCATAATTTAAGAAATAGCAAGTTGAATTAAGCAGTACTGCTTTAATAATTCTCATCAGCTTTTTAGTTATTATAATAATATATGATGTTGTACCTACGTATTTTAGAAAACATTCGTGTTAATATTTTGAGCAAAAATAAAGAAGAATCGATTACACGAATCAATTAGTAAGAAGACAAAGAAATAAAAACTAATATTTAATCGTTATTATTTATTGAGCATATTGAGGTATAACGTAAGGGATCTTTCACTTATTACGTTAGTCAAAATAAAACGTATAATTTTGTATGGAAAAATGTAGCCCTAAAATGTGAACGTAATAAGTACACGTTAGTCTGAAATTATTCGTCTGCTTCTTTGTCCAGGCAAGAAACGTTATAATGAATAAAGAGAGTTTTATTTGTGCTATAAATTAAAAATTAATGAAACAAAAAATTTATGACTTTTTTTTCTCCTTGTCCGGTTTTTGTTCGTCAAAACAGAAAATGAACCACCCGATGCGCAAACATAAACGAGCTTATTTTCGTAATGATGATGTAAAACCAGCTTAGAGGAAATGAAGAATTAGTTGTTTTTGAATTTTAGGATACAATTTTTCTGGAACGTCAATAATATAATCTCTTCTATGATTGTTGTTCCCTTAAACCTTAGCTTGACAAACTTACGACCAAAAATTATTTTAATCAAAAAAAGGCGTGCCACAAAAATGTTCAAAGAATCATAAATGACGTGAAGTTACAAAATAATAAAAGCTACCTGTGTGCTCAATAAAAATGCTCTAGCAATATCGAAAATTTGTCTACCCATCCCTTCATTTGGTCCATAAAGCACAATCAAATACGTCAATCCAAACAGTGGAATTAGTACGAGTAAAGCTTTTGAGGCTTTTCGATATTGGCGCGTCTCAGCTGTGTTTGCTGACCGCAATTTTGTTATGAGCACCTATTATGATTTAACAGTAATATGAATTAGAGGCTTATTTGAATTTTGACTGATAAATGTGATGACTTTTGAACTTACCCACATGATACTTGTTAGGAAGATAAGATTTATTAATAGTACAGCACATGCTGGCCCTTTAAATATCCAATCTACGCCTGACTCTTGCATCCACAAACAATCAACTTCAATCTTAATTAATTTTGTTGAATAGAAAGAAACGGGAGATAATTTATGATTTAGAATCAGTCTTCCTATATTAATCCAACCACATAATCAGATACTATTTGAATTACATTTTTGCGACAGTTAGGGCAAAAGTGCCCTTATGCTCGTCTAGATCTATGTAGATGCTATTCTCAAATTTATAAATCAAAGCATGTCATATTTAATATGCCATTAATTTTTATTCTTATATCTTGCACTCTTGCATAGCATGCGCTTGTTCTATTATGTGAAACTTACCTCCAGGGAATCTGCAACTCTTGAGCCAACAACTCCTTTAACGATAGACCATGTAAGTGCAACTACAGCAGGAACACCTTGAAATTTAATAGAAAAAAATTTATGTTTTTATGTTTTTTATTCAAAAATTGAGCTTAAAGAAAAATAATTTGGACCGGATCGTAAAAATTTCTTTGAAGATTTCGAATAAACTTTTTGATGTCTTTCTTTCTCCTTTTTGGACACTTTTAAGAAGTTTTTCTTTGCAAATCTTATGGCAAACAGAAAATTTTAAAAAACATTGTTTGGTTTGCTTTTCAACAACTTGATGATTTTTTTTTTCATCATAATATTGTTATTGAATAAATGCTATGGCAGTTGAAATGATTCTATGCTTTGTAGCATTTTGATTTGATTTTATTTTCTTTGTGTGGGTTGAATATGTTTTTGAGTTTAGAAATTGGTTCATATTTTTTTTTTACCCTGAATAAGATGTGAACTGCTACATATTTGGTTTTGTTTGCTATATTTTTTGGAATTTGATAATTGAGCTCATCATCATAATTTGGTTTAGAATAAAATTTTAAATTTTTTGATTTGACATCCAATCTATAGATTATTTCAAAATTTAGATCTCGTTCGAAGAATTTTACAGCATTAATCTTGAAGAAATTTTTCATCATTGCCGTTTTTTCCTCAGAATGTTCTCCATTCTCAGGAACCATTTAATGTTCCTGATGCATACACGTGTGCGAGAAATTTACGACGCTTAATTTAATTATTAAAGTATAATGCTGTAATATTATTATGGGAATTTAATGTGATTTCTTTAAAGCATCTTCTTTATGTCACTCGAGATAAAAAGCTCCGAAGCTTTATTCAATGAATAAAACGGAAGAAAAATTGTAAATTATGATCAGGAAGAATAAATCTCAAGAAATAAGATAAATGTTAAGGTTATGATTTTAATGAAGAGCATCTTGTGTTTCATCTAAAGTTATTTATGAGAGCTGAGGCATAAAATATAAACAAAAGGGCAAGAAAATATAACAAATATGAACAACTGAATTCAAGCTTAATAAATAAATGAATTAAGATGATTCTCGTTAACAAAATGCATCTAAGAATAAAAGTCTTAATCTCCATCCAGCCAAGTTTCCTAATGTCTTCTTTTATGAATTAAGAACATCCAACTGTTTACATCATAAATTAAATTAACGATAATGGTTTTTCACTTAAATGTTTTTCATTTTCTTAAAGGGGCGTATCCAGGTTATATTGAAGACGTCAATGTTAATATGGTTGTGTACTTGTTGATTTTTCAGCCTACCTTTTCTTAAAGATTAAAACTGGTTTCTCAAAGATTCTGATGGAAAAAATGTTTTGTAAGACATTTACATGATGCTCTCCCCAGAAAAATGCTGCCATTTAAAAAAATTAGTACTGAGCCTTTTTTTTCAGTTAAAGTAATTAATTTCTTTGAGGACCAAAATTTAATGTTTGATCCACAAACCTAACCTTATCGTGCAAACAGAAAATTTATTTTTGGTTACTTCCATCAATCAAACGAAGTGCGCTAAAGACCTCTCCTTCATTTTATTTCTTTACTAAAGGATGAAAATTTTATTGCATCCGAAATATTTTCATAGTGACGCGAAGGATTGAATAAGGAAAAATGAAAAATAATTAAAAATACTTCAGTCACAAAAAAGCGGATCCAATTTTTCATACCAAAATTGAGTTTAATAATAATAATATAAAGGATAAAATTTTCTATTTGTACAAATTGATGACAGAAAAAGGTAAATATGAAAAGTTATCAGAATGAAGATCAGAAATATTACAGCTTTTAATTTAGTAAAAAGCAATGAATTTTTAAAATATTTTCTTTTTTATTTCAATGAACCAAAAAAAAAAATGAAAATAAATGGATCTTCAAGTATGTGACAGTGTGTTGCTGAAAGCGACAGGAAATTTGATAATATTCCGGATAGTAAAAATTTCCTTGAGCTATTTGTAATAGAGATTGTTTAGTAACAAAAAAAAACAAACGATTGTATCTTTGGTTATCTTCTGAGAAGTGCTTACGAACACTTTTAAGATGGTTGAAGAAAATCTTTTACATTCAGTTTTTACATCTTAAGATAATTCGTTTTTATTGAATACGATCATGTTTAGCTAGGTCTATTTTTAAAAATTTAAGGAATTGACTTTTTAAACTGTAAGTTTTAACAAAACAATAAATATATTTCAATACCTCATGTAAACTTATGTGGGGAAAAGGTTTATAATTGTTTTAATTGCTTATTCAATTTAAATTAAGCTTTTGAGCTGAAAACGATACGATTTTCAAATAAAAGGGAATTTCACTTATGGCTTCATATGATATAGTAATTTCACAATGTTAATGCTGTTATGGAGATAAACTAATTTCAACTTTTGTAGGTTTAGATTAAGAAGATTTTACTTTTGAATGTATTAAATGGTACTAAGCCTGTAATTCTTTTAATTTTTCTTATTTTTTTATCACTTGTTTATGACGCTACAAAGTTACCAGTAATTACTGATATTCTTCAACATTTATATTCAAATAGTCAAAAGACTCGAAAAGATCAACTAAGCTTATGAAAATAATAACCTAATTGCAAAATTAGTATGTCAAAAAATAAAACAACAATTTGCAAATGCACTTTTTATCACTGACGCAAATCTGTTCCATTTATTCTATATTTAGATCACAACTCAACCAAAATTTTTTAATCTATTTTGTTCCTCAATTAATTAATTTCCTTTCCTGTAACATCATTTCATCATTTGCAAGTCCTTTTACCAAGTATATCTTTTCGAATTTTGGCACAAAACACGCAAAAAATCGATAAAATCCCTTTATGAGAGCATTAATCTAATTTTTCATAAAACCCAGAAAATAAAGTTTCGATATATTGAGTGTTCAACTTTTTGTGACACTATATCCCTTCGGATAAAATATCATAATAAACAAAAAACAATGAACTTGTTATCAAAAACCTTTTAATCTCAATAATCTTCTCTAATCTACGAAGATGTTCCTAATGAGTGGAAAATAAAACTTAATTAATTGATGTTACGTGAGATATTAACGTTCATATTGATAGAAATAAATTATTGATTGTGCTGTTTTCAATTATCAGCAGTAATTTTTAAGCTTATCGAGAAAGTATAATATCTTGAAAGTTTATTAAAATTAGAACTGCAATAAGAAAAAATTGATCAATATACAAAATAAAACGACGCTCGACTTTGAATTTAAACAGTTTGAACTTTTGAATGAAGTGCTGCAGAATTTTCGAGAGTCCTTGAGAAAGGTTGGTTCTGTTTCTCACAACTTATTGAAAAAATTTCTAAGTTCCATTGTAAAAAAGTTTTAAACCTTCTATTCAAATTCATTCATCTACAGAACATAATCAATAATTTCAAAAAATAAATTTGCAATTCTAAGGACCATAAAAGTTTTAAAGCTTAAAATTACTCGAACTTTGTGATTTTTTTTCTTTTTGGTGCAACTTTTCTTTCAGTTCAAATCTACATCTTATTTCATTTTGAGAATAGAAATCTGATTGAAGTGATTGCACATTCAAGCTAGTTAATGACATTTTCTTTGTATACTTTTTTTCACTACAATTTATTCATGATTCAAGTATGAATTGTATAAGATATTTAATCATGAAACTTCTTGTTGGAATTTTTAATATCATTTCATATTCTCTAATATAATATAATATTAAGTCTCACATTGTAAATAGTTTCACATTGAGGCTTTGTTTCTTTAAAATTGAATTCAGGGATGAGAATTCTTACATAAAGACAGTGTATCACGGCATTATTTACGCCTGATGAGATCACAATTAATTCATGTTTAAATTTGATTATGAAATTTAATTTAAGGAGAAAAGATACACATGAGACAGAACTAGAAAGGACTTAATCTAAGTTTTTACTAAACTATTTGTTCGAAAACTTTTGCCAACATAAAAGTAACAAAAGACATCAAGAAAGTTGTGCTCGTAATTTCTCTATCAACAATGTTATAAGATGTTTGAGGAAAAGCATTTAAGTGTTTATGTGTCATACATACCATATCCTATAATAGCGTAAACGGCAAACTTATTTATTACTTCTATACGTGAAAATGTTTCCACAACCAGTAGATAAAGATATAGGCCTGCGAACAAGTGTGTTGATAATAAGAAGAAATGATTATCTATTTCTTTAGTCATGTGATTCATTTTCATTTTTATCTAGATCTGGAAAAATTTCTAGTCCCAAATCTAGACTCATTGTTTAAGAAGTCAAGAATTTTTTTAAAAAAAATAATTACGAACCCTCAACCATCATCCAGAAAAAATTTGTTAAATTAAAAAATTGCAAAAGGGTCAATAAAAGTATACATTCTATCAGTCCTGCTGTAGACGACATCTGTAAAGAAAGGGAACAAAAAAGACAATTCATGAGAATAAAATAAATGAATTTTGTACATGCTGCATAAGATGACAAATTATGTTTCCACGAGTTATCATGTGGTGTTAAGAATAGGAACGAAATATGAGCAAAAAACTTACTTGAAACGATAGTGTCAACAGCCATAATAAAGCAGAAAATATATACGTAATGAAAAGATTACAGTGAATTGTGTTACGCAAGCAGCGTAGTTCTCTATAATACGCATTCAGTTATTTTCCATCCATGAAAAGAAGAAAAGAAATAAAAGGAAGAAAAAATAAGAAAGTTGTAAAAAAAATTCACAAAGTGTGACATTTAAATCGGAAAATGTTAGCGAAAACACATTTTTATGTTAAAAATGTAACAAGAATATAAAATTTCCATATTCATAGAGCTCTTTATGCTTTTTATATTTTTATGCCTGTTTGTCTCCATATATTTATTGAAATGATCTTACGACATAACTTTATGCAAATTCAATTCCGCTTTAAGTTATAGCAGCCATCACTTTTAGTGAGCGATTATATTAGAGATTTTAACAAATCGGAACTTAGATTGTAGAATTCTATTTTTAAAAATATTTCATGCACAAAGTGTATTGAATAATAATCATGAAAGACCATCCAAAATTGTTATATTTAGTTCAAAAAAAAATGGTTTTTAAATCTTAAAGAATCCCCAGAACTCCCATTAAAATTTTGATTACTCACAAAAAGTTCACATCAATCAATTTGGTTCTTATTTAATTATTTTAAAAATGTGATCCGCATTCGATTTCAGATACAATTTAAATTCCATTCTCTTAAAAGCTTTTCATTCCTATCCAAAATATCCCCAATCAACATTAATTTGAGGTTGTCAATGGCTTTGGTTACTATAACAATAATACTATTGGAATTGTTCAGTGACTGTAATAAAAGGGTTCATTGATACTGTAACCAAAAAATTGAGTTTATTGACAACCATGAAAAAATCTAAAATGATTCTGAATGAGATCTGAGCATGACAACAGCCTTTGGTTCAATTGATGCTTTTGAAGTTTGATCCTCTTATTAAGATTCGACTATAAAAAATTATTTTGGAAATCTTTAAGTAAATTCAGAATAAAAAAAAGTTTAAGAGTAAGAAGAGATTTTAGAGTAAAAAAAGAAGATTCCTCACGGTAACATTGAAATTGAATGAACCCCTAGGATACAATTCTCAATAAAATCTCGTTGTGTACTGCATGAAAAGCTTAAAATACTTGTGATAAAATGATAAAAAATTCATTTGTATAGGCAAGAATATGAAATTTTGATACTTCTTAAAATGATCTTGAATGAAAATTTCATATAGCAAAAGCTGAAATTGTATTTTCTTTTTCTTCGCATTTCTATTCTATTCTACGCAGTTTTAGAAAAGAAAACATAAAATCAGTATATGCAGAGAAAATAGTAATGAAAGTTTATTGAGAAATTCTATGAAATTGAGAAAATTTGTCGCACTCATTTAAAGGTTAAACTGTTAATTTCTAAATAAGATATAAAGTCTGTTAATTAATATATGTTTATGTGAACGTAATTCTAAATTCATTCACAATTAAATGGATTTTGATTTAATATTTTCATATGATATTTTATATCTCAAAAGAGATTGAAAACGTGTTTGAACTCAATTTATTCTACGAAATTCTTCTCAAAGAGATTGAATTTCATAAACTCGTTAGAAATTTTCCTATCTATTGCCATAGCGCCGCTGTATGAATTTTACATTTTGAATCAAATGAATCTACGAAATCTGTGTGGCATCAAAGCTCATTAGCCATTTAATTTCCTCTAATAGAAAATTTAGTTTCTTTGATTTTACGCTTTTGGTGATGAAATGGGAAAATTTTGCAATGGCTTTTGAGGTTGAATAGGATTGGAAACTTTATTAAATTCTCTAAATTGGCAAGATTTCCATTTGAAAACTGTTCATATTATATTGTCACAATTACAATACGAAACCAAAAAAACACTTCTTCTCCAAATTCATACTAGACAGAATCTCGACTTATTCATCTTTATGTTTCTGATTTGCAATTTCAGCACATTTAGTAGAGAATGAAAAAAAGCTAACATAAAGAGATTCAGACTAATATGAAATAAATCTCTATTAATATGCTGTGATTTATGCGCATTTTCTTCAACAATAAATAATATTCTTTTGCTTCACAAGTAAATCCTAAGAGATTTGAGGTAAACAGTCTTAAATCTTTTTATAAGTTCTTTTATGAAAGAACGGTGATTGACTATGAGAGTCAGGTGAACAATCTTTGGAAACTTTTCTTTCTTTCTTTACAGATCTTTTTAAAACAGCCACTGCTGTTATTACAAATGCACCACATAACATATTTTATAGTGATAATTAAAAGAGCTGGTAACTGTCTTACAATTGAAGATTTAGTCAACTAATAGTTCAGCTAATTCACCACAAAAACAACTTGACAAAGTGAGATCAACAAAAGTTTTTTCAGTAGTGAAATAAAACCATTAAAAAAGTTATACTGTACACGTCATGATATATTTTTCTGCTTCCGTGCTGATAATTTTGATTTTATTATTTCTCTGGTGAAAAATAAAAATCATAAAAAAGTTTAATGAGATTTTGAAACTGTCTCGTAATTTGGCACCAATCCAATATGTGAATAGAAAAGTTGAAAAATTGAGACATCATGTTGTAAAGAGATAATGATATTCGAGCTGATATATGGACAATAATCTATCAAAGAAAAAGTTTGGATAGATAAAAAAAAATAAATTTGTTTATTAAATGCAATATGAGATTCCGAAAATCAACAATAAATAGATTAAATTGGTCTCAATGTCTTTTCAATTTAAAATTTCTTTCTGATTTCGCATGTCGTCTATATGATTATTTGATTGTAAAAATAAAATTACGTGAGATTATAGCTTTTATGGAAATATGGAAATTTTTCTTCAGCCTAGCGTCAAAAAAAAATGAAATTTTACTCACTTAAAGGTAACAAAAATAATCACAGCGATAGTCAAAACGATGATACTTAATGAATATCCAATACAGTAAATTATTGTATTGTACTCAACATCGTGCGTCAATACCGAATGTGATGATGAATGGACACAGCTATCGTACATTGATTTCTCCCAAAAACCCTCAGCATTGCAGAACTTCGTGGCATTATCTGTGAACGAGAAAATGAGAAAAGGAAAGATTAATTATTCGCTGTAATATGAAAGTGCTGGTTATGGTAAGATATAATTTAACCGCTAATTTCTATGGATAAATGAAACTATATTTAACTTTATGTTCACTTATAAGCATAAGCACACCATTGGTTTGGAAGATTATAAAATAGAAGGAAATGAGTTCAGTTTCTTCAACCATTGCTTCTTAACTTTTAGAGCCAATTCAACGTAAGTGAGAAATATAAAGGCAAAAGAAGAATCTGTAAAGGAGTGAACAAAAATGTTTGCAAGAAAGCACGACGAACAACTTTCCATAAAATTCAAATACAAAAGAATTAATTAAAACTTTTGATTTAAGCGTTTAAGATCTAGTGTAGAAAAGTTATTGAAGATAATGACTGAGATATTGCTTTATCTCGAAACGTTTGGTTAAAGAATGAAATTAATTCAACGTAAAATTGCAGCCTCGAGGTTTGCTCCTCCCTTCCACAATCAGCGCGACTCTCTGAACCAGCAAATGAACATATATGACAATTCACTTTGAACCGAATGGTTGGGTCTTGGGTCAATTTGGTTAGAAAATGAAGCCAAATCTAGCATTTGATCGTTTTTAATGATTTCAAAATTTCATTTTTGGAAGTTCAGCGACAATGTCCCAAATGATTGTGGTTTATTTGGTTTTACGAAAAATGTTTAAAATTCGATTTAAGAAGTGAATATTCACAGTAAATGATATTAAATGATAGGAAACGATTATTTTATTATATTTTATATAGAAAATTAAGCTTGATTATAAGATCTGTTTCTTGTTTTAAATTGAAAAATTTTATGACGTGTCTTATAGAATTCATTTCAATATTAATGCGCTCAATAATGCATTTTTTACAGTATAAACTTATAATATTTTTCTTTAATATCTGTTGAAAGGTTTCTCTGTCTTGCCGGTATCCTAGCATACACTTTCAAAAGGCTTATAATTTCCTTTAATTTTCTCGTGCTGTTCCTTTTAAATTACATTCAGAAAAACGGTTTAAAAGGTTTCATTCACTTACTCATTGTAGAAACGCGGCAAAAATTCATAAGCAAAAAAAATCCATTATTATGTTTTACATCAATGGCGAGTCTGGGTGTGAAAAAATAATCAAGTTGTAAATATTTTTGTTTGCACATTTAAGAATATTGTAAATATCTTCTTCACAGTCCATTTCATCGTTTGTAGTACGCATTACGGTCTACAGTCTGATATTGACTTCGAGATTGTATTTTATCAATGACGATGAAAAGGAAAATGCTTGAAGTATTCAAATGTACTTGAATATGAAGAAAAAACTTCAGATCCTTGAATCTAGGATTATAGAACACAGTCAATATATGATAATGTATTTGCAGTTGCAACTTCTTTAATGCCATTTGCAGTGTATATCCTTAAATTCTCGTTAACTTAATCTATTTGAACTTTATTTTAATTTTATTTGCAAATATTGAAAATATAACTTGAAGATGTTTTCAAACCGAAAGATCTATCTTTAGAAATTCAATAAATATCAATTTAATTCACAGTAACCTTAGATTATCCATCTTTGGTTCAGATTAACATAGTAAGTAGCTTTATTGATTGCTATTTATGTTGAGAAAATCAGTTATTGGATATGTGGATAAGTGCTTTTCTGAATGTATTTATTTATGCATCTCATCTAGCAGAAAACTTTTTGAAAGAGCTTATTTTTATATTTTTTTGATTGCAATTTACGTAGGGAAAAAAACACGACTAAAATAATTTGTTTGGGTTGAACAGTTCAAAAATATCATCGACTCTAAGCTTGTAGATTATTTATAACTTGAGTGGGATGAATTTTTTTCAATGATGTTCATGTGATGACATGCTTAATGAAGTGACGTAATGTAATTTACATAAAGAAATACTAATGGCTATGAATAATTTTACAATCATAATCTGTGCTTTTTCAAATTTTACTTTTAGAATGAAATTGTGTCGATTAAGTTTTCTGAAACTATTCATAATAGCCAAATATTTCAAGCGAACCATAGCAAATGCTTTTGTGTCACCGTAACTATACAGTCGTTTTTTGTCATGTCAGCCTTTTTCACAGGGAAAAACAAAAATTCAAATTTCACAAAAAATCTCTGCATCCATTCATTTCAACCTGAAAATGAAGCATGAAGCTAAAAAAACTGAAAATGTAAAGCATAGCAAATCATTTTCAAGTTTCTCATTTAAGCACATTTAATAAAACTCTAGAGTCACATTGTAGCCCACAAGTTTTGTTGACCGAGTATCATTATGTACTGTTATAATACTTGACTTTGAAAATCAAGCACTCGTAAAAGTACCATCGATTGATTATTTGTTTGGAAGGATTTATATATTTATTTTTTATTAGAAAGGTGTAGGACGCTGTAATTTGCTTCATTGGTTCTGTGTAACTTATTTAAAATTTAATTGTAAGTATTTAAAAACAAATCTTCAAAATTTAAAGCTGTTTTTACTTTCTAAAGTCAAGTTTACTCTTTTTATTTTGCATGTGTTGACAAATATCAAGTTAAAAGTGAATAAAAACACGAGAAAGGAATGAAATAATTTAATTTAAATTTTCATGAATCTTTCATCTCATTTTCTTCTTTCCTGTAATTACTTTAAGAAGTACTTCTCTTGCTCTGCTTGTAACTCCTTTAACTTTTGTCCTTTTTTTTCTCATACATCATTGAAAGGAGTATGATGAAAAGAATAATTTAAAAAGTTTTATTTCTTGTTTTCTTGAGGAAAACAAAGTACTTCATAAATTGAATATTTCTTACTGCTTTACTTAAAATTTACTTGAAAAGAAAATTCTATTCTTGTTTAATACAACAGCAACATACTTCATTGTTGTATGTTTATACATCATCATCATCATATGTTCTGTATATGAACGCTCGTTTATAATATAAACGGAGACAAAAAGACGAGATGGAGAAAGAAGGAGAGGCATATTCATGGCTTGTACAAGTTGTGGAGAAAAGGAAATTTATTTCAATTTCGGATGTGGTATTTTTCACAGCTCATTTTCTACTAATGGGATTTTACTCTATGATGCTTTTATGCTTTTTTTATGAAAGTTTAAGGTTTCATATAAAAAGTATGAAAACTTTTTTGACCTTCAAAATTTTGCATAGGACCCTCATGAAGAATTAAGTGCCGTTTCATGAATAAAATATGCACGAATATTTATGTGGTTGATAAATTTTGTTACATATTTTTTGACAAGATGTTTAGATGTTGTATAATAAAGTTTAAAAGTAAGTTGTAATGTTTTGTGGTTATGGAAGCAAAGATCGTGGGCGACCAAAAAACTCGTGGAAGGAAGCTGTTGATAGAGACAGTATAGCGCTTGGTATTGGAAATTGGCAGACGGTAGCCAGAGATAGAACTAGTTATAGGCGTAAACTAAGGGAGGTCATGGATCACAATTGATATGTACGACCAGCGAAGTAAGTAAGTAAGAAGGGCAAAACATGTTAAAATATTATCAACGTAGAGTGATCAACCTACTCAAATATAATTTATAGTTGATGCCAATCCTAAAAGGAGTCTATTTTTCGATTACATTGACCTTTACACTTGCTTTAAACGCTTTAATCATTGACATTTAAGCCTACATTTTTTTTAACAAAAAATTTATTTTCAAAATTATTTCTCAAGTACTTAAACCTTGGCAAAAGGCATCAGTTTTTAATACGAACGAATGAATGACTTTTGAAAAGTCTAAATCTTTTGAATGAAAATAATGGAAATTTGTATGCAACACATGATGAATAGGGAAGAAAATTTACAAAAATATAAGCAGAAGAAATTTAGGATTGAAAAAAGCAACAAGGAAAAGTGTACAAATAAATACTTGAACAAACGTATAAGAAGTGGTGAAGGATAAAATTGAACATGAAGTGACTTTGAAATGAACAAAACATAGAAGAAATGCTTAAAGTTACAGAGTTTCCTGTGTATTGTTCTTTGCTAAATAAATAATAGATAATCATTCTACTATATGCACATACTTCTATTTGATTTCTTGCACAACTCGTTAGTGAGTGCCATTCCTGAATGATAAAGACTGTGCATTGAATTTTCAAGTTTTTTATTCACATACGAAAGAGTTGTAGATTAACATGAAAATTTACATGCTTTGAATAACAATAAATTTTATGCGAGAGAATATGACAAATCCTGTCTTATAAAATATAGATTCAGTATGGAACAAAACATATCTCACATCTATATCATTACCTTCTTCATCATACTGCATGCCATTAATGGTAAACATACAGCGCTGCGTTGCTAGTGTGTTGTATGGTGTTGGGGGCCAACATAAAACCTGTAAGATAACAAAAGCAAATTATTTGTTAATTAAAAGGTCATAGCTATGAACTTGAAAGATATAAAGAACGTAATAAAAAATTTCCACATCATGTCATTTGTATCTTACCTTATCATGTGTTGGCGGACATCCCGATAGATTTGTCTATACAAAAACGAGATAAGTCACATATTGAAATTGATTTTTCCATCATATATACAATTTTTAATTACCAGAGCATGAATGTGCTCATATAAGCAGGAGAGTACATCCACATCCGTACCATTCGATGCTAAGGTTTGATTATCAAGATCGAAAAAATTCCCATATGGGAAAGATTCATTTACTTCAGTGGAAGCCACTACGTACATTCACTACTTTTAATTTTGATTTACTAAGATTTGATATTTTTCTCCTTATTTTTTTCACTCTCCACTTCCTTATTGCACTTCCTTTTGCTTATTCTTCAAATAAATTTTTTTTTAATCAAGATAAATTTTTGCATCGTTTCTGCTCATATTTCAATTATTTCCACACTTATGCGACTCTTTTTTATTTATCATAAATATATTATTTCTCATATGAATTGCGTATGATATGATGACTGCTCTTCATCGCAATGCGGCAAATCGGAGGCAACAAAATGTCTATGAATGAAAAAATATTAAATGTTATTGTTTCATTTTTAATTTAAAATGCGGAATTTAATTAGAGAGGAAATAAAGGAAATTAATGGATGTGCTGAATAAATTTCCAATTAAATTACAATCTAAAATATTTTAATGAAATTTTTCAAACGAATTCCGGAAAATGGGGTTAGATAATATCCATTTAAAACCTTTATACTTCGCTGCATAATAAAATGCTTTTAATCAAACGAAGAGACATTAATTTCCACACTTTGTAGTCGCTATTGAGACTTAAGAATTATTTCTTTCATGTCGTCGAAATGATGCTTTAAATTTTTTCTATACTTTTTATTACACCACTTAAGTTTCGATCCCTTACGTGCTTCTTTTGATTTCAAAATAAGAGATACTTAAATTCCATAAAGATTATATATAGCAACACTTTATGCTCAAGATATGTTTTACATTATTTGGTGGACTTATTGAAATGATGATTTATACTCAATTTGTCTGAGCTCAACTGGATTAACAGGTTAAATTTAACTCCATTTGTAAGATATTTTAATCGAAAGCATAAAATATTGCTGCATAAATTTATGAAAAACAAAAATATTGGAACTGCTAATTTTTTGATTTAGAAATTGAATTTAAAAAATATCTATTGAGAATTAAAATTTGCCAGGACTAGCTCAAATCTCGATATAATATGTTTATGCGTTGTAATCCATATCAACTTCCTTAAACTTTGTTCTTCATCGTTATCGCAGCAGAAGTACGCACATTATTATGTTTCATATTATCCGCAGTCTTTTGAGATATACATTTTTTTCGGATTTCTACTTAAAGCAAATACAGCACAATAAGATTTGTAGATTGCGTGTCTGAAGAACATTAAAAAAACGTGTTTTCGCATAAATATTGACAAATTTTGAAGCACAAAATAAAAATTTGAATGGCCCGGAAGACAAACTTGAACGTCAGATTGATTTATGTCAGTTAGATGAAAAGCAAAAAAAAAATCCATAAATATTTAATAGAGTTTGGGTATGAGAATTTGTCAATCATTTTGCTAGAAATTCCATTCCAAATCCCTTAACGCCACCGCCTCATTTTTCTTCAAGAATCCTCATCCATAATTTTATATTTGGATAAATTTAAGCTTACGGTTGAGATAATAGCGAATAATGATGATGGCAAAGAAGGAAAATCCTCAAAGATTTCATGAACATCACGCCTGTCAATTATGCTCAAGATTATTTATTGAACATTCATGATATTGAATTTTCACCTTTAAGTAATTATATTTTCCATCTTTGATTTAGAGGCTAATTATAAGGTTGATTATGAAAATCATTGAAACAATTTATCGGCATCTTCCCACAAGAATAATCGTATGGATGAGCACGACTCAAAACAATTTTGAGACAAAATTAGAATTTCCTTGAATTCAATCTGAATAAGAATGTCCTTTTATGCTTTATAAATCCAATGACAATTTCTAAAATGCTCACATATTTAATATTTTTAAAGAATTGCTAAATCATTTAATGACGTAGATGATTTTTTTTTATGAAATGCTTCAGATAATAATCTATTGGATTACGTTCATCAAGCCTCATTCGATTTGACATTTTGAATGTGAATTCGTTTCAATAACGAGAAATGTTTACATTTTTGGGACAATTTAATGATCCGAATAATTTTATGGAAAATAAATTCTTCATATTCAATGAAGAATCGAAAAATCTAAAAAATTCAATATTCTTGCAAAAGTCCTTCCTTGAAATAACTTTTTATTTTTTAATAAAGTCAAGAGGTCAAATTAAATTATGTTCTCGTTTTCAACCTTTTTCTGAATTGCGGAAACATTTTCTGTTTATTCTTATTGTTGCTGATAATACGCAAAGGAATTTTACTTTATATAATATACTTGGAAAGTCTTTAAAGTTATTTACTTTTGATGAGTGGGAAAGATAAATACTAGGAAAATTTTTGGCAGTTCTATTCATAAATTTTTAATGGCATTTTTCAATCTTGAATTCCATTAGATAACCATAGTGATACCTTTCCAATCAGTGATAGCTCTTGGTGATTTACTTCTATGGGGAACCATAAGCAATGAAACTTTAATTTTTCGAAACAATGTTTTTCCTTTAGCAATTTCTTGAATAAATTGAAAGAAATTATAAAATTAACGAGAAATGTTAAAATTCTGAACTATTCTACAAAAATAAAGGAATAAAAAATTTATTTATGGATATTTGGCGGCAAAATCACTTTCCCATTGAAAAAGCAATTTTCATTTCTTCGATTTGATTTCACCCTGGCTTTACTCCAAATCCGATAAAGCACCTTAATGCTGAGCTATTTTTTCTCTTTCAGACAAGCGCTTTTTTCAGAAAAGCAGGTTGAAAAATGAGAAATATTTACAGCTTATGAAAAATCCAATTTCATTTGTAGAAATTGTAATTAAGACACAGTCCTGTCTGTGTTTGACATAACAATAATTAAATCTTGTGACCAAAATTGTTAAATTCACAGAAATCCTACAGCAGAAGTGTAATTGAAAGTTTAAATGTTATTTTTGGGCTACTTACTACATCACTGCTTTTGAAAAGTTCTATGACAAGGTTTATGTCACATTTAATGTCTAATGTCATGCTTCTTATGTAATCATTCAATGAACTCAAGAATATAAATCATAAAAATGTTCGTGCTATTTCCTCGCTAGTAATTTCTTAATAAATTTTTGTATAGGTTTAATGTTTCGTAAAACATTACAAATTTTACAATCAATTTAATAAATTATTATTCATTATGCAGCCACAGCTCAATAATCCCACGGAAAAATATTTACACAATTGATAATTAAATCTACCGCCATTCACACACTTGAAATACAATAAAAACACTATCTATTTGGCAATACGGTTGGGAAACAAAAAAAAACAGTAAATGCGATGCAAAAGCAAAGAGGTTGAAATAGAAGGGTTTATGGAAGTGACAAAATAAGCGTCATTATTATTTTTTCATTTATAAAAACATACATAAATTTATGTTCATGTGAAGGCGGCATTAAAAAGCCATAGGAGGAAAAAAGTTTATGCATAAATTTTCTATAGTTTTCTGCTGCTCATTCTATATAGCTTGATAAAATATTTTTCAATATAAAAAAATTTAAATCTGCAAAGACACAACATAAATCGATGGAAAATTATTAAATTGTTGCCAGTTCTCTTCGTAGCGATCTCATTACAAATGTGTAAAATATATTCACAAAAATTGAAAATTTTGTGTGAATATGATTTAAATCAAGTAATTTTAAGATTTTTATCATAAGTTTAAGACAAAAGCAATTAAATATCACTGAGGACGAATAGAACTTTCTTATGACAAATCATGCCATATTGTAGTCTTTGTGTAGTTTCTCCTTTTTCTTTAATAATTTATCACAACATTTACTTGAATTTTAACAGATTGGCCGTCATTATAAATGCTTAATATGTTTATAGCCGTGAGGATACCATTATTAAAACCTTGCATATCTAATATCTGAAACAATTTTCTATACCGTTTCCACATAGCATTTGTATACCCTAGCTAGAACATTGACTAGAACTTTTTGCCGTTTCACCAAATTGCATTGTATATAAAGATAAAACATAACATAACATTTCCAGATGCCTGTAGAAATAGTGTTGCTCGCATCCTTTTATCTCAACAGACAAAAATGTTTGAAATATTTTTTTGCTTTATTCCAAATTGCATCATTTGACTTTGAACAATAGAATATTTTTTATAGTAGCTGTATGAACCAAGCATTTCCACTCGTTTCACGAAATAAAAAAAAAATCACTATTATCTTCTTAGTTTCTCGTCTTTTGTTTATTTCACAATAAAAGAGTAGAATGGATGGATTAAAACATATTCCAGAGATGATAATGTAATTTTTCATGATTTATAAATAAGCATTTTTCATTTAATTCCCATCGCTTAAAGCGAGGAAAAATAAATTGTGCATTGGTATAGCTGCACACATGCTATTCAACTATCAATTTGATTAAGATTATTTACTAATGTGAAAGTGGTAGAATCAATTTTCCATGCTTCTGATGCATGCGATTTTTCTCCATTATTTATCTCTTTTGTGCTGTTCTATTGGATGTTAATTGATATTAAATTGAATTAAACTGAAAATCATTTAAAGAGAACAATAAAAGGGGGAATAGGTAACAAGATTTTTATTATGCTTAATGATTTATGATGTTTGAAATTGAATTTAAGAAATTATTGATTGTTTGGCTATTTATTAGGATTAATGTTTCTATACTCTAATTTGGTACACATGTTTGATTCTTTGGGGAAATTATGGTTAATTTATTTGTGTTGTATTACAATTCAGGGCATAAACGAAATATTATGTTTTACTGATGTAGATATTAGCTTTTAACTAAAATAAAGAGCCAAAGTCCAAAAGAAGTTTAAAGGTCAACAAACAAAATCACATTTTACGGCTAAAGTGTTTTTTTTCTAGAAAAGTCTTGCGGTTTTGTAAAAAAATAGAATGAGTTTAATAAAGACAAAAAGATATGATTTGCAAAGTTGTAGTAGTGTTAAAAAATTCTTTTCTATTGAAATTTAAATATCAAATGCAGCTTTATCTCAAAACATAGATTTTAAAACTGTCTGAATAGAATGCTCCTTAATGCATTTCGTTAAATTAAACATCACTTTCCAAAAAAAATTCTTCACAATTCAGGTTTTTAAAGTTATTTTGCTTACATTTCTTACTTCACAAAGGAAATTTCCTCAAAAAATTATTCAAATCAACACGCTTAATATCGAAATACTTCCTCAAAATTCACTTTCGATAAAAATTATTCCAAAGAGCAACTTCACTTGTTTATTAACAAATTTATTCTGACAAGTTTTGTCTCTTGATGACATAATCACAAAAAAAAAGTCTGCATATACATACGAAATTTAATTTGCATAGGCACACATCTTCGTAACTTGTTTATAAATCGCTTCTCTTGCTTGTTAATACATCGATGGCATCAACCTCCATTATGTTAATTAATAAGCAAATAAGCGTCTATTTTCGATTTCATTCACAGATCATTAGATATTTTAATGCTAACCTGCTTAGAGATTCTTGGGTAGAGATATTTCAAACATTTAATAAATTAGAGAAGAATCGATAATGAGTCCTCAAGTATTTAATATTCAAAACATTAATAACATAATTATCATAAGTTTCCAATTATCTTTGAGTCCACAGATTTTTTTTTCTTTTGAAAAGGTGTCTTTACAATAAAATCTGTTATTAGTTCTGCAATAAGCTTTTCGTATCTCAAATACAGTCAATCTGTTTTTATCATATGTTAAGGCTTAAGCATAGAGAACATGAAAATAGAAGATTTATAGACCCTAAAATAAAAATACGGTCTCATAAGGAAGCAGGGTTATTTTTAGAACAAAAAAAGGGAAACGAAAAGAACTTTCTTGCTTTCCGAAAACATTTTCATATTTTTCTCCAAGAATAAAATATCATAAGATCCGTTTCCTTTTGAAGTTTATGTTCCATATTGAGCTTTTCTTCGTTTTATGTCCTCATCATGTACATCATGATTAAGTTCATGAGCCAACCCAAAGAATTTTACGAGACTGAAGTGATTTCGTAGACGCATATAGAAGCAACCAAAGCATAAATATTTCAATGCCTTTCACTTTGCCATAAATGCTTTTCGAATGAATTCTGTGATTTATTGGCAGTTTTTTTGAGTCGGTTGTGGTTTTGTAGTCATTTTGGTCATTTTTAAAGGTTACATAATGAAATTGTCCATAGAATGGTTATGATGCATGCAGATTAAAAATATAAAATTATTTTAAAAAATGATTTTTTTTTTTTCATTCTAAATTTACGAAAATTCATCACCTTGATCAGTAGTCTTTCAAACCTATAAGCACTAAATTATCCCAGTAAAATGCTCTTAAGTCATCAAACACCATTAACCTTTCGAACGAGCTATCCTTTCTCTTCTAACAAGATTATCCTATCTGTATATTTCGTTACCATAGCATTTTATTTATATCATTGTTAAGTTCTTCCTTTTCTCTTCATTTCCGTTGAACTCTGAACAAAAATTTCCTTTTTTTCTGTAACTTGTTCTTTATATTAGCCTCTATTTTATTTTCACATTACCGTATTATTTTTTTTGGATATATTTTATTGGCAGTTACGTTTTAATTCCCATCCCACTCATAATTCAATTAAGAATTATCGCACAAGATAAAATAGCTTATTTTCGAATGATAATTATTGTAAATAAAGGTGAAGTGGATGTGGAGTTAAATTGGAAATATTTTTCAATTTCTCCGTCAAGTATTAAGATTTTAGTGTGCCAATTAAAGCTAGAAACAAATTCTAAAAATACATTCCAAGTGAAATTTGAGAAATGAAATGAACGAAGAGGGAAATCGAGGCGGAAGAAGAGAAAATAACAAGAAAGGAAAATAAACAATTTTCACATGACAAAATTTATTTCTCATAAGTAAACGATTGGTATGAAACAGAATCAAGTACATGATGTTTATTCCCAAATAATGAGTTTGATTAGGAAGGATTATAAGGAAATAGTGCTTTGAAATGAAGTTACCGAAGTAATATGTCTTTAGGACATACTGAAAGTTTAATTATTTTGTCTTCCGCCTACGGCATGATTCCAAATTAAATTTCAATTTTTAATTGGCTTGATAAGTTTGATTTTTGTGTGCAAAAAATGTCTCCTACTTTAAACTTGCTTCCATCAAACCAATTAAAACAGTTCAAATGCCATTGGCTTTTTTCTGCAAATAAAAGATCAGCCAAGTTCATTAAAGCATGGAATGAAAACTCCCAATTCATAAGTCATGCACCTTTTTGATGCACGTTGATTAAATATTGAACAGATAAATTAAAGCTGACTGGAAATTTCAAATAATATACATTACGAATTCCTCTTTTCACATATGAAGCTTTTGGAAAAGCGAGTTCTCTTTTTTGCTACAAGCATCTATCAAGCTTGATAATAAAATCGGGCATATCATAAATTTGAAAACACGAGGCATTACCGTGAATTTTTCGAACATATTGGCCTTTAAAAAAAGAGCATAATAAACATTTGTGAATTTAATCCAGCAGTGCTGAAAATTTTGAGCCCCTTTTGGTACATTTGATTTCAATGCCGATAAATTGAATACAATTAATTTCATTATCTAAACAAGAAAGATGGCTCATATATGATAAGCGAAAGAACCTTGAAATGCAGAATCGTCAAAAAACTAATCTCATTTTTGCTAAACAACCCAACATCCTCAATATGGAAAACATTGAATTGGGTTAAATGATTCATGTTGTGTTAATGAAATGAGAGAGTAAACAAAAAAGGTTGGGAGTGCCTTATCGTCATTAGGAGAATATACATAAGAAATTACAATATTAGGAATGCTTGAATGAAGATAGAAATGAAATTTATTACTTCTTTACTGCTGTTTATTGATAATGACTTGAGCTGATGTAGTATTTTGTTTTGATGTTCCGTAAAAAACATTGTCAGTTGTTGTTAATGATGATGAATTGACAGCATCTTTTTCATCACATCCGACAAGAAAATATTTGAGTGAAAAAGGGCATTTAACATTTCACAAGAAATGAGCAACAAATAAAAGCCAAAAGATGTGAAAAGTTCAAATATAAAGTTATCATCATCTCAACTTAGAGTTAAACCTTTTGAAATCTATTGTTTGCTTATTGGTATGCAAAAAGATGATACGAATGTGCCTTTAACGGTAAAAGAATTTTTTTATGATACAGAATAAAACTAAAAGGTTCACCATGACAATATCCTTAAAAGAATTTTACTAAGACTTAAGTTTCCTAGAAAATGGACCGTCTTGAATGAAAGCTGTATCTTATGAGGGGAGATCCATCATTCATGTCAGAAAGGATCAAATTATCTGATTAAATCAAATGTCTTGTATGTTTCTGTTTTTGTGGCTGACAAAGGATTTTTTTTTTGTTTGTAATAAAATTACTTTTGGGGGAAACAATTCGGAAAATTAAAGTTTGTTGGACGGGAAATAGACAGAGGGTTGTTGCGTATTCACAAATATCTGTAATTTGAGGAATTTTATGCAAATAGTCAGGTTTGAATCATGTTATGAGATTCCTTTTTTGGAATGTCTACTGAAATTTTGTTGAAGATGATAGCCTGATAGTAATGTTTATGTGAATGCATGCAACTGTCAAATGAAAACGGGTTGAATCTGATATTTTTTTAATTATACATTACATTTGAAGTTCCCTTTTTAGAATTGATTTATACTTGATAAAAAAGTTCTCATATTTCATTAATTAAAACTCTTAAATCAGATTTATCTATATGGAACTTACATCCAATTTTTGCAAGATCCAAACTCTTGAAATAAAAAGATTTTTTTTAAAGCTGCTAAAATACATGATATCCTACAAAAATATCAAAAATTAAGTAATAATAACAAGATATAAAGATCTAGTGTCAAGTCTCTCCTCCTCACTGCACCACCCGATTGCTTTATCTTATTTGTTCACCATATATATGTAAATTTTTGTATTTAAGAAAAAACGAAGTCATAAATTTTTTTGATACTTCATCGTCGCCCTGAAGACAAGCACAAAAAAAATTAAAATGCTGAGAAAAAGATTTATTAGAGGATTTTAAAAACAAATTTTTCTCAGTATCAGCATCAGTAACACTTTCTTGAAAGAACATGATAATGAATGAGAGTCTATTGTTCAATGTAATATCTTTATTTATATGGATCCTGATTTATCAAATTTCTTTCCTTCTCATTTTCTTTTTGATTGAAAGACAATAATGCAGATATCTTGTTTCATTGATTTTAATAGCAACTTAATGAAAATAATAAGACAGAAATGAGAAAAAGGAACATCATTTGGAACATTAAAATAAGAATTACAGAAAAAACTTTGGTATTTTTGTGTTCTTCCAAACCTTCCCAAAAGCTCAAATATGGAAAATTAACAAGTTTTGGTATTGACAAAAATTGCTGTGTCATGCATTTTATCCCTAATCGGTAGTGTTGAATACGATCGAATATTTCCTTACGAGAATAAAATTTCATGAACTTCCGCATGATTCTATCATAAAGTAAATAAGTGTGATCTTTCACGTCAGCGGTGGTGATATGATAAGATCGTAAAATGTTGGCATACATAGTGTATCTCCACTTTAGAAAACAATGACACTGCACGAGTTTAATTTACGTTCATTTATTTTTTCTTTATAAAGCAACATGAGATTGCCACAAAATTCCTTTCATCTCTTGAACGCATGGAATTGAAAAATCGATTTAAAATTTCAAGAGCATTTTGTGCATAAAATTAAAGCTTTCTGTTTTTAGGAGGCAAAAAAAATGAGTGTCTGCTGAGCATACGATAATCATAGGAAGAAATTGCAGAGCTGTAGGAATGTAGGTCATTTATTTTTTTTTTGTGTACACATCTAGACGATTGTCAGCAATTAGGCATAAATCCAACAGATTAATCCATTGATCGTCCAATTCTTTATTATCTCCACATCCATATCAAATAATTCATATTTCTTTTTTCCAACGACATGATAAAATATTTTTATTATTTTTCATTTTGATTGTATATTCATTTACAGTCAGCCGTATACGAACTTTATGCTTCAATTAAATTCATTTTATACAGAAAAGATATTACAAATTTTTCCGGCACCACATTTTTTAAAAATTTAGGTAATTATTTTTCGCATATGTTGAGAAAAATATCACATGTGATCAAGAGAACGAAACTTATTTAATAAAGCATGTAAATCCCTAAATATTTACATCGCCTGTCACTTCGCACATTTAA